ACCACCTTTTTAACCAATTCCCGGAGCTGACAGTAATGGATGTTGGTGTATATAACAGCATACTGTCTAGTCCCTTTTCCAAAATAAGTAAGGTCTTGTATTAAATAGAAGGTTAATAGACAAAACCCTTTAAAAAAAAAAGAAGAAGAAAAAAGTTTTGAAATGGCTAAAATAATGTGAATGACAGATTGAATGAGGGTTTTTTGGAATGACAGGCAGCAGGTGGCAGTACTGAGACGAAAGGTCTAATCATCCGTCAAATCGCATACGATCTCATAGTCTATGAATCTGGTCTATGGCGTTGGCGCTAAAAACTTCATACAAAAGACCTGACGTAACAGTGGCGCCAACTGGTGACGTAAATTTTCATAAACACCCTCATTGACAAATAGTCAATATAACTAAGTCGTACAGTAGTACAGTACAGTACGTATAGTTACATTTTCGCAATGACACAACCGACCGCACAGGATCTCGTCGCCATTGTTTCGGCAGAGTGCGCCGTGTTCTCATGGCCGGATGAAATTTAAAAACCCTGTAAACGCGCCGCTCCCAAACACCCAAAACAGCCATTGTGTCGATATATTTTTATTTTTTCCTGCTGACAATACTGAGAATAATATGGCAGCGAGCGCCGTGCGACGAATTCAATATGGTATAACAATTTAATTGCCTCTTAAAATGCAATCATAAAAATTTTGACGGTGCCGAAAAATATTATTAACGTAAAATTTGCATTATAGGCTTCCTTTCGTACTCGTAAAATTCACGACAAGACTTCAAGTGTTGGTTACAAAAAATGATTCTACTATTATTTGAATAATAGCATAATTACATAATATATATATATGTCTAACATATTATTTAATAGAAAATATTTTAAATAAAATAAAATAAAATTTTAAAATATCGCTTGAGCAAAATATACAACTTCATAAAACTGATAATTTAGAAGTTAGGTTTTCATACTCAATTAATGGAAAGGTTCCTAGTAATAATTATTAAATTAACGCGAACTTAAACGTGTTCTTGATAAATTCTTTAATCATTTTTGATTTGGAAACGTCTTCAAAGGACGGGAATGCAGAGAATTACAAAATCTTTGGAACATTTATTTATTTATTTATTTATTTATTTATTTATTTATTTAATAATCACTTACATCTATCATGTATCCATGTGTGTATAAAGTTCCTTTACAATTACAACGACTTAAAATATTAAACTAAAACTAGCAAACCAGTGAACCAAATGTTCACCAAAAACTGGTTTCTCGAAAACCGGAAGTGCTACGTTACTCAAATCCGGTTTGTAGTCTTATCAGACTATTCTTAACTTATAACTTAAATATTCTCTTTATCTATCTCTTACGGTTTGGCCGCTGAAACAGCACCACAGACAGACGGACTTGTCTAATAGATAAGAGATTCAATAATAAGATTCAGCTGCATCGAATTTTAATTAAATATTAAAAAGAGATGATAAACCATCTTATCAATGAAAAAAAAACAAAAAGGTTCCAAAAGGATAAAAAAATCTTTAATAACGTTTATTAGAAATACCTCTAGTTTACAAAGTATGGCTGCCAAATACATATTTCTATATAATTCTATTTTTTATTTTTTTATTTTTTTTAAATAAAAAAAAATAAGTTTCTATTCCTACCGTAGTGGGTAAGGGTAGCCGCGTGATTTCCAGGTAATGGGCTTAGGGTCGTGCCTACCCTAACTCAAAGCATAACATGCTTTGAGTTAATTACGTAAAATTATCACATCTTTCATTTGAAAGATTGCCATTTTATGGCATTACAAAACAATGATGAACAAAATAATCCGTCAGCAATAACTTCCCCCCGCAGCATGAGTACTACAATGTAAATTATATCACTGCCAACCTCCATAGTAATAAAACCACGCAAAACAGTTACTTCAGTACGTATTTTGTTAAATGTTCGGTTCATCCGCTGAAACGCGCTAAAGAAATTGTTTTGTGCATATATATAAGGTAAGTTTATAAAATTTATATTCGAGAATAAATTGGGATTGAGTATTGACCGTAATAATACAATTCAAATACAAATATATTCAATTTTAATTAATAATACTGACATGGATAAGCCCGACATTATTACCAACTTGTTCTAAAATTTCTTTGGACGTTTATCTGAAATAAATGATTATTATTATCATTATATATAACTAAAAGGTTCTATAAGTAAAAGTTTAACATCAGCATAATAAAACCGCTGAGATACCTACCTACGTTACATTTACTCAAGTTGAAATTGCTAAGCCCCGAAAATAAAAATGTTTACCAAACAAGGCAACATCAATGTAAGCAAACTGAGATTGCCCCAGATAGCTGTTGTACTAATATTTAGGTACGAGTACATTACATTAGACGCACTTTAATTAAAATTACCTCATATTATTTACTTGCCACAGGCTTTGGTAGTGTTTAAAACGTATAATTTACAATAGGGGTGATGACGGGGAAAAGTAAACGAAATTCTATTTAGTTCGTGATGACCAAAAAATAATGGACACGTATTTTTTCTTTGGGCCAACAACCAAAAAATGACAAAGTTGTAGCGCGTCAAAGTTTGGGAATAGGGGCTCGTGACGTCACTTTTTAGTGAATATTCGCTTAAAAGTGTACTCAAACGTGACGTCATGCGACTTTTCAAATCAATATATCTCTGCAATGTTTATATTATGTGAAAAAAGAAAAAATACGTGTCCAATACTTTTTGATAATCTACCTGATAAACGAAGAAAGAAAAATTAGTCATTATCCCTACTAAAATTTTCATCCTACCCAATAAATACAATTTTAAATTAAGTGCTCCTATCGAACAACATAAATTCTCAGCCAGACAAGAGTTTCTAGTTATCTTCGGGTAATGTAATTTATGCCTTTATCCTAACATAGTAGGTATCACAGAATATGCTGACGTCACAAGTTCAATAACCTTTTCTATAAAATTTAAGAAAACATTCTTGTTAACTTTCTGTCCAACAAAACAAATATTTACATTGAATTTAAACGTTTGTAAAACACACAATTTGGTTTTTCAACACACATGCATTTCGTATTACCTTTACGACAAGTACATAATATAAATAAATAATAAATATGTCCAACACTTACACCAATTAGCCTAGCCCCAAAGTAAGCACTGTAAGGCTTGTGTTATGGGATGCTAGGGTAACGGATAGAATACATATACTGTACATATATAAGTATATTTATATAGAAATACATATTAAACATCCATGACTGGAGTACAAATGCTCGTATTCATCACACAAACATCTGCCCCCACCGGGATTCGAACCTGGGACCTCTCGAGTCGGCGACACCATGAAACCCGGCGTACAAACCACTCGACCACGGAGGTCGTCAATGTATTGAGGCGGATTGAATAAACTTAATAAATAGACTCTTAGAATGCGACGAAGTTGTAGATTCTCTGTAGAATATTAGTTTCTTAGGTTTTCACGCACAGCACTCATTAAATAAAACTAGTTTTTCACGGGTTAATGCACGAAACTTTATTTATTTGTTGACGTTTCCAGGCTGCTTCGTCGGAATCAATTTTTTATTTAATTTACAGTTTATTTAATCTCAATTTTTTATTTAATTTATGTAAAGTTTCTTAAAAAAAAAACAAAATAGTGTATCACAACAGTTATACGAGTAATTACAATCAACCATCGATTAACGCGGTTTTGTTGGCATGTTTTTTTAATTATACAAGTAAAATCACAAATCAAAACCTCAAAGATAATGAGATCGGCAACAAAAACCTTGTTTTTATTAAAAAACAAGTCTTCAATAATTCAAGTTCTTAACTTACACCGCCCGTGTTTACATCCAAAAACACATTGTTACAACACAGCTACAACAAATTTCGCACAACATAATTGTAAATTATTTCAAACTCTGTAAACGCGAGAACAAGTTTTGCGAACGAGACTTGAACAACTTATATGACAGGTAAAATATTAAAAACGTGCGTACTTATGAGTAATGTGTGGTAATGTGCTTGCCGCTAATATTGTCTTAGTGTCGCCGCACACGGGCCACCGACCACAACCACAAAACGCCGCCACCGGCATATTTCTTGTAGTCTTTATACATTTTATATGGACTCGCCACACACGGTACGCCGGTGGCCGCCACACGCTACGAATCGTCGTTGTTCGCTTCTTGTGGCCCGCACCGGCCACTTAATGCGCCGATACTAACGCCGCCACACGTCACTCGCGCGATTCCCCACCCTTCTCTCCCTTACCTTAGTCGGCCGCTGTCGCGCGCTTCAACCACTTTAGTAGCCGCTTCTAGCTTCTAGTGGCGGCGTTTGTGGTTGTGGCGTGTGGCCCGTGTGCGACGACACTTAGTGGCATCAAGAAATGTGTTTATGCAAACAAGACCCTACAGGGCAAGCCACTGCAAAATAAACCAGAGTTAACTTAATTTCAATACCGTGGGTGTGTTTGTACTGTATTAAAATGAAGTTAGGGTAGAAATTACGGTGTCACAAGTTAATTAAATTTACTTTAATTATTTGAAAACGCTTTAAATGATCGACTTTTAGAAATATCGAAACTGCACAGTGACAGCAATAGGGTTCCACTTTAACACTAAAAATTAGGCAGCCGGCATTCATAAAAAATTATATTATTTAATTTATCATTGCGCAGTTGGTCTGGTCTTTTCCAATCGTATAGGGATGAAGACTATTTTTATTTTCTTCGTTTATCAGGTAGATTATCAAAAAGTATTGGACACGTATTTTTTCTTTTTTCACATAATATAAACACAATTTTTGGTACAATTTTCACTTAAAAGTGACGTCATGAGCTAGGGGCTGGCTAGCTCCCAAACCTTGACCCGCTATAACTTTGTCATTTCTTGATTCATTGCCCAAAGAAAAAATACGTGTCCATTATTTTTTGATCATCTAACTGACGGACTAAATAGAATTTCGTTTACTGTACCCCGTCATCACCCCTATTGTAGATTATTTGATGTTATATGAAACGAATAATAATGCCTAATTTAAGACCGCAAGTCTTTTTCTTAAATTTCGTTCTTTAGAAAATTCTCTTAGTAACATTAAAACCATTGTTGTTTAAAACCTTATTCCGTTAAAAGATCGGCTTCGTTTATGAAAATCGATGCGGTACATTTTCCGCGTGGCGTGTTCAGGATCACCGCTCGACGACATTGACTATCACTACGTGTTCCCCACGCACCATCATCTGTGGTATGTGCCTGGTGCACTCCCAAACACCGTGCCCCAGGGGTGTCTCCGTCACTAAAGGCACGGGGAATATTTTCGCTGCAGAACCTTTCGGGACTGGTGTACCTGGATTGAAACACGTAGTCAATTCAACATAACTCAATTTGAGCAAACCTTTTTCTTAGTTATAAGGGCAAGTTTTCTATGTAAATAATTAAAATTTCAGTTCTGTAACTCATTCCGTTTACGATCTAGATACCCGTGAAATACGGACAGACAGAGAGACGACAGAGTGACAGCAATAGAATTCCTTTTCTAACCTATTTGACTTGTTACATATTTGATATTATGTGATGGAAATTGACCTCAACACATGTTTGCAAGTTTGATGTCAACTTTCAATTGGAACACTGTATGAAATAAAACAGGGAGAAAAAATCAGCCCTTGCTGAGTTTCTTGCCGGTTCTTCTCAGTACAAGGTCTCCCGCCGTAGATTTGCGAACCGATGGCGTAGCTTTTCGACATTCACAAGTGCTTGTAACAGCCTAGACTGTATAATCGATATTGAATTTTGAATTTATGAACCCTAAATAATGATTTATCTCGTGAAATCGATAAATATGAAATCATTACGAAAATATATACATAAATACATGATTGTTTATAATGAAAGTGGTGTTACTTATCAAACCTATTGAAAAATATAGAAACTAAACATCCACATCAGGCTATAAATAAATTTATAATTCAAACGAAACAAATAAAATATTGCGTCATATCATAAGTCAGACAGTTAAATATGATGAAAAGTCAAAAATTATGTTCAGAGAAAGTAGAACTGCTTAGAAAACGCTGTATCACACTGCATAATATACACTTTCTTTACATAATACACACACAACGCGGCCGTTTGTAATATTATAAGATTTTATTAGTCTTATGACCTATTCTAGAATGTAATTTTGTAATATTTCATGTAATGACTGACTGTTCCGTTTTTAAGATAAATGATAAAATTTTCCATTTAAAAAATTGATCTCACGTATAATGTCTATTGGACATTACAAAAGATAACGTTCATCATCATCATCAGCCTATTAATGTCCCCACTGCTGGGGCACACATCTTCCCTATGGATGGATTAGGGAGATTGGGCCATGACCCACCACGCGGGCCCAGTGCGGGTTAGTAGGTGCTAACGACTGCAGATGCAGCCGGGACCAACGGCTTGACGTGCCTTCCGAAGCACGGAGGAGCTCGAGATAGTAAATTTTTGGTCACCCATCCAATGACCGACCACTGCGAAAGTTGCTCAACTTCAACGACCGCAGCCGAACGCGCTAACCACTGGCGCCATCGAGCTCCTCAAACGATAACATCGAGCCCTTACCGCCAAATTATCGTAAGCGACACTCGCCAAATTATCGTAAGCGACACTTTTGTCGAAATGCGTTTTTTGTGGAAACTAATATTTTAAACCGTAACGGACCCATCTCTGTTGATATTTCCCTCTATTCTTTCCTCTATTATATTATAACGGTGTTCTTTTGGAGGGAAATATCAACAGAGATGGGTCCGTTACGGTTTAAAATATTAGTTTCCACAAAAAACGCATTTCGACAAAAGTGTCGCTTACGATAATTTGGCGAGTGTCGCTTACGATAATTTGGCGAGTGTCGCTTACGATAATTTGGCGGTAAGGGCTCGACATTACTAGGATAAAAAAAACAGTCTCACCTAGTCCTGGTGGGATCTTGCGCTTCTTCTCGCCCTTTCTCTTCCAAATCTCCAGGATGTCAGAGAGGGCCAGATTCCATTGTTTATCGAACGCAACTAGGGTAGCATGGAGCACCCCGCGTATGCCAGTCGCATTTCGAGTGATTACCTGAAACAAAATGATAATAATATAAACACCCTACACTGTATTGTATTCTAGATTTTTACACTACCGTGCCTCAAAAGGATAAAAAAGAAGTGTGCACGGACCTACTCAACGACATTAAGAGCCCTTTCACCATTTTTGCAAAAAATCGTAATTTTTGAGCGCCCCGTTTACCCCCTTAGAAAAGATTTTGACTATTTCCAATAGAAGTAAACAGTAGATTTATTCATCCTATTGCATATTGTTAATGTAGAATATTTGCAAATACTATTTTCCTTTTTTTGTACTCGTTCGTTCTACCGCAACTAGTTTACGGAAAAAACGATAATATGCACAACTTCAAACGCCTCAATCTCTAAATAATGTTCAATAAATTAGATCAAATTAATTACTACGACATCAGAAATATGTTTTTGTTGTAACAATAGAATTTTAATTTTCCATCGCATTAATTATCAAAAAAAAAATTACACCTCCGTGAGTTTTCGCAAAAAATAATGCAGGTTTACCTCGTATTTTGATATTGAATTAAATAGAATTACTATCAAAAACTTTCTACTATCATTGAAATACTGAAATATGTATATCTTAATATATATAAATCTCGTGTCACAATGTTTGTCCTCAATGGACTCCTAAACCACTGAACCGATTATAATAAAATTCGCACACCATGTGCAGTTCGATCCAACTTGAGAGATAGGATAGTTTAAATCTCAAATTATAGTCGCAATTTTAATTTATTGCAAATTAATACTTTTGGGCGGTACGAAGTTCGCCGTGTCAGCTAGTTTTTTTATAATTAGCTCATAAATAATTATTTTATAAGACTCAAAACAACACAATCTTTCCTACAATTTCCCTCTTTCCTACAATCTGGGATCCTTTAAGAGTGGCGTGAAGAAGCATTTTTGCAGGCCGACAAGGTGAGGATGGTTGGTGTAGCAGTCTATAACTGCTGTACCAGCCATCTTCGCGTTTGGACTTTATCACCACTTAACATCAGGTGGGGTAGAGTCATTTGCCTACATGACTAATTAAAAAAAAATCCTCACCGAAAGGGAGTATTTTTTAAATTGTGGTGTTCTGTAAGTTGGAGGGTACTTCCCCAGACGGGTGCTTCAATTCATTCGGAAAATCCGCTATCCCTACCTTACCGCTCTTAATTTTTACTTCACATCTTAACTCTTTATTATGTGCGTTTGTCAGAATTATCCACTTATTCTTTATTCCTTTTATTGCAGGTGTGCGTATGTCTGGACAGTCACAACCAAATGTGTTCATTGTCGGCACCGACAGCATCAGCAATAGTGCATTCACTAGCTTCCTGGTAAGTCATACCAGTTTATTTTAATCTGCTCATTCATTTTTCTATTAGTCTTTTACGTAGTTTAAAAATTGTACGAGTCCCTCAAATTGTACAAGCGTAATTGTGCAAGTCACTCAAAACCCGAGCATATTTTTAACATAATAGGGTATTTGACAGTATTAAAAATAAAGTGCCAATTGTTAGCATCTGTGTTTAGAATGAATATTGGCAGTAGTTTTTGCTATATTTACAAAAAAAAAATTCATTTGTTTTACTAAAAACCCACGAAAAAGATAATAGTTTTCTTATCTATTGTCACGTGACCCAAAACGCTTGGGATTGGCGGAGCCTAAAATGACGTCACACGCAAGTAAACTTCCGGTTGAAGTGACATTACATTCTATCGTTTGACGTTTTAATAACAGTCGTGTGACGTCACACACTAGTAAGACGCCATATTGTCCAGAGAAACGTTTTCGCGGCAAATTGAAAATGGAGTTTTTGATTTGGTTATTTTTACTGAAAACACAACAGAATAATAAATATCCACTTTTTACGAACTCCATAAACATAAGTCAATAACGTGAGATCGATTTCTGAAACTTGTCAAATACCCTATTCTGGATTTTTATTAATAATTTTATGGACAACCTATTTATATAATCCAGCCAGAGACAATGTCATAAAATGTTGAAGATTCAATGATCTGGTCAAATTAAATTTCCCCACATTATGAAATGCGATCATTTCATGAAATTCTCGAGCATTTAATGAAGTGAGCAAATAGGTTATTTGCGTTGTATAAATTGTCCACCGCACAAACATTGCTACTGAAATATTAACTGACTGATAGAGTCAGCGTGGATAGATTCTTATGTTGACTGGCAATTTGCTTAGTAGTTTTGCCTTCCTAGTTTTCCAGATACAAAATAGTACCTTTATATGGCCATTGTAGTTATTTTATATGATAAAGCGGTGTCAATAAATCACTCGGTTTACTTAAATCGTTCGGACAAATTGTCTTTATTAACATCGTGGTCCTGTGACGGCCTCTCATCACACTAATCACACTAATATTGGCGAAAGGCGAAAGTTTGTGAGTGTGTATGTTTGTTACTTCTTCACGTCTAAACGGCGAGAGCGATTTTAATAAAATTCGGTATGGAGTTAGCCGACACCCTGGATTAACACATAGGCTACGATTTACTGCGGGAAAACATCCCTAAAAAAACCGGCCAAGTGCGAGTCGGACTCGCGTACCGAGGGTTCCGTACAAAAATATTCAAAAATATTTTTTATTTTATGATGTAACTAAAAATTTACGGTTTTCGCAATTTTTGCTTTATCTGTACTATAAGACGTTACTTCGTACCAAATTTCAAGATTCTAAGTTCACGGGAAGTACCCTGTAGGTTTTGATTCCCATGCGAGTTTCGAAAATTTGCGGCATAAATGGCTGTATCTTTTGATTGATTTGGCTTAGAAGTTTGATTTTTTCATAGCTCCAAGGGACAGTAGACCTGAGTATAAGGTATGAATTTCAGTTTGATACCTCCACGCGTTCCTGAGAAAAACGGTCTTGACAGACGGACGGACGGACAGACGGACAACAAAGTGATCCTATAAGGGTTCCGTTTTTTCCTTTTGAGGTACGGAACCCTAAAAACAGCGGGTAAAACTGCGGGACTCAGCTAGTCTACTTATAAGGCGCAGGTCATCTGTTCCCCATCAACCGGCTGATCCATAATTTAATCAGCTCACCCAAAGATGTTTACTGACGGAAGGCGGTGTGACCTCGCCTGCTCAATTCGTAAGTGCCAAGCCAAGGTCCCGCGCAGAGCCACTGTTATTTTCCTTATTTTTTCAAGCTAAATATAGTACTGCTCTGAAGATTTTTACACTATTAACTGTGATGTATTTAACATTATAAATGGTTTCATTTGTACTAAAGTGATGTTCGAATATATTCATATTTATTAGTATCAGTACATTGTGTTTCACATGTATACCAATTAACTTGCTCGAGGAGCTCGATGGCGCAACTGGTTAGTGCGTTCGGCTGCGATCGTTGAAGTTGAGCAACTTTCGCAGTGGTCGGTCATTGGATGGGTGACCAAAAATTTACTATCTCGAGCTCCTCCGTGCTTCGGAAGGCACGTTAAGCCGTTGGTCCCGGTTGCATCTGCAGTCGTTAGCACCCACCAATCCGCACTGGGCCCGCATGGTGGGTCATGGCCCAATCTCCCTATTCCATCCATAGGGAAGGCCTGTGGGCTGATGATGTATGAATGAAATGTATGTCGCTTGAAATTTTGTAGGCCTTGTCTAGTACTTACGGATAAATTTGACGTTAACAGGACATTTCGGCTAGTAAAGAGAACGATATTCTTATTGCCAAAGATTCCACTACCATTTATGATTATCGTATTGTTTGGTTTTATCACTATGTCACGACACGACAATGCACCAGGCTAAAACTATACTTCAGGACTAATAATTACCAGCTGACGACCTCCGTGGCCGAGTGGCTTGTACGCCGGATTTCATGGTGTCGCCGACTCGAGAGGTCCCGGGTTCGAATCCCGGTGGGGGGCAGATGTATGTGTGATGAATACATGCATTTGTACTCCAGTCATAGATGTTTAATATGTATTTCTATATAAATATACTTATATATGTGTACAGTATATGTATTCTATCCGTTACCCCAGCATCCCATAACACAAGCCTTACAGTGCTTACTTTGGGGCTAGGCTAATTGGTGTGAGTGTTGGAAATATTTATTTATTTATTTATTAGCTAAGGTTGTTGATATTTAATACACATTACTGTGTTGAATCAAAGACTGAAACGTTTCCATTGACGACTTGTTGATAACCTCTTCATTGAACGGCAGCGATCCTGCCTACTGCTCCAGAAAGTTTTAATTCGGATCCCGATATAGACCCATATTTAATGTAAACATAATATTGGTAGTTTGGTACAAAATAATTTGAGTTATCCCGACAATTTTTAATTATTTTTAAAGCATGTAACTGTTTGAAAATATAACTAGAAAATAAAAATATTTGACATTGTGGGTTACCTATAATGCGAAGAGATGGCGTTGCCTTGCAGCTTAAGAATGGCTAGAAGAATTTCGAAGCATAATTGGTCAGTGCATTCGCCCGGATTGCGAAGGGTGCGGGTTCGAGTCCCGTCTGCTGCCTGGTCCGCGTGGATTTTTTTCTAGTTATATTTTCTTTTAATTTTTAATGATATAATTTATAGATTATCCGCTACCTCGCCCTGAACCCAATCAGCTCGGTCAGATACCCAACTTGTTCGATCGTGAAACTTAAGCTCTTGAGTACTCCATACCGAATAAGGGCAAAAGCAAATAAATCGTGCGGGCGCTGTGACAAAAATGGCACAGAGTGACTTCCGGGTGGAAAGTTGATCGGCGCCTGCGCAAGGTCGCATCTTGAGGACACTGCTCCACTCCCCTAACAGCTTACGTCATCATCAGCCTATTAATGTCCCCACTGCTGGGGCACAGGCCTTCCCTATGGATGGAATAGGGAGATTGGGCCACGACCCACCACGCGGGCCCAGTGCGGATTGGTGGGTGCTAACGACTGCAAATGCAGCCGGGACCAACGGCTTAACGTGCCTTCCGAAGCACGGAGGAGCTCGAGATACTAAATTTTTGGTC